TAATGCCCTTTCCTTTCCGGTGTCATTCTTCATTCAAGTTATTCCAACGTTGTTCCTAATATCATCGTGTATAGGTCTAATGGTTATGATTGATTTGACATTTCAAAGTTTCGTAATTAAGGAATAAATATCGACTAATTTATAAATTAATTTTTCTAATAAACTTTTTGCATACACTTTTCCTTGCATAAGTGCATTGCTAATTTTAGTTCCTTTAAGATAAACTAGTGCAGGTTTTCCACAGTCAGGGTGTCTAGCTTCAAATATCTCTCCTTTAAAATTTAAAAATGAAAAGAGTTTCAATATGAAAACTTTAGACTACAGTCTAGTATCATTAAGGTTTTGAATAAATTATGTATTTACAAAATTTAAATACATAAAAAATAAATATCTATATGTATTTGTATCTACACATAATCTATCTGATTATGTTATCTCCTAAGATTAATTTTAGTAGAATTATCTTAAAAGAGTGAATCCATAGTTAGTAAGTTCAATTTCAAAAATTATTTTAAAGTAACTTGAATTTAAATTGTTAAAAATGTTTAACGGGGACTTGAATTAAATAATGAATAACAAAATTTCAATTGTAAAAAGAAATAAATTAAAAGCAAGTAATTAAATTAATTGCATTAATATTATTAATTGCATATATATATATATGCACTGTACAAACATTGCAATATAATCTTCAGATTTAGAATCCAATGTAACACTTTCATCTGTTTAACTAAATGGTAATGACAGGTCTACTAATGTAAGCCAATAAATTCAATATGCAGAACATAAATTCATTTACTTAAAACTAAAATGGCAAATGATACAGGAAACCGGTTAATGTTTTCTTATTCCTTTATAAACGAATGGCAGCTAGAAACTTTTGAATAAATTCAATGAAGAAAAGGGTTAATTATACGTAGAATGGGCATTTTTTCCCTGGATTGCTTGTGTATAAGATCTTCAACAACTATTTCCCGCAAATGAAGTGGCAGCAGTTTCTGTTTTGCCAGGACAGAAAATCGCGTAACGAAAACAATAACACATAATTTGAGGTGCTGAAAATCCGTGCTGAAGTTGGCCTGGTTAGAATTATACTGATGGCATTTTCAACAACAAAGACCTGATTTCGAATCTTGAAGGCATATATGGTTGTGCGAATTGTGATTACGAAACGTGAACTACGAAACTACACGTTTTCCCTTCTTCACGTTCTTCAACTACGAATGTTAAAAAATGTTATGCGAGACCACGAATTAACATCTTTCTGCTGTCTCTAGCTAAATTTATATGGTGCTATACAAAAAGCTGTGACTATTAGTGCCTGAGGTCTCTGAATAGCTGCAACGCTATATTGCTGTAATTTTAGGTAATAATTTTAGGGTGTGTTTTTGTATAACAGAATCTGTAACAGTTTTCTTGTATAGAATTTTAGATCTTCTGATTCTGAATCAACGTCTAAATTGGAAAGATAGATCAACTACAGCATCAGATGTAGGCAGAATCTTTCTTGACAGATTTTGGTGACAAGTATCTTCTCCAAGTTGGCGAAAGTATTTTCTCCAACATTCCTCCAAGTGTTTGTCCAAGTCTGCTCCAAGTGTTTTTTTCAAGACGCCAGTTGGTCTTTATCTCTCTGGCGACTCTTTCGCGTCTCTCTGGAAATTTCGAGAAAAAGCATTTTCAGAGCTTCTGAATACATTTTTATTTCTTAAATAATCAATTGTATTTGTACAATTAAGTTCTGAATTTTTTTCAGAGAGATTACAGTTCAAAGAGTTAGTTCAATTGCATTTCAGAACTTACTCTACGATGATATTAATAATCTGCTGTTTTTCTTTAGTGTTAACGAGGAGTGCTTTTATATCTGCATTCTCGCTGAGTTATTTTTTATCTGCACTCTTATTTAATTACTACAATTATTTTTAGTTATAATAGTATGGTCTACCATTTCAGATTCTTTATGAATATATTATATAGCGTTAGATTAAAGCTTACAAATCAAAAAGTGTTTCTTTTTTCTCATTAAGAATTAGGTACCATCTTGTAGAGAAAGACTTTATGACCTCCCCCTCTTGTTTGCTTTTGTGACAGAAGCAACTGCGTTAGTGCTCATGACGTCAGTCGAGCAGTATGGAAGCTTATTTAGGTGGTAAATTCTTTTCGTATTCTTGAATATGTGCAGTCAAATTTTGTTACTGTAATACAGCGTGGTTTCAGAGCTCACCATAGACAAAAACATCTGCCTTGGCGCTGGTTTGGCTGTTCAACATACTAGAGCAGAGGTTCTCAACCGTTTGACTAACATGTACCATCTAAACAAAAATTGAAAACCTTTAGTACCACCACTACAAAGTACAGCTACCACCAACACTCTTGAACAAAGCTCAGATTGCATAAATTTACGGGTGTTAGAGAAAAAACTCAATCAGGGTGTTAAGGTTTTAATTTTTAAATTGAATAATTAAAATATAAAAAAAAATCTGAAAGGTTTTAGATTTTAAATTACGTTCAAAGAGGCGTTTTTTTAACGTTTTGTGTGTTACCTTTATTTATTGAATATAATGTTCTTTGCACTTAAACCATAAAACTCAGTTCAACAGCAATGTCGCAAAATAATTTTAAAATGAGCATATCTTTAAAATTTCCGATACACATTTCCGCGCGCTGAAGATAAAAAGGTCCCCTTAGAGTGTTGCCATTGCTCGCTTTTAAATCGTTGAGTTTGTTACTCAAAAATTTGTTAAAGTTTTACAAAATATGAAATCGATAATAAAACAAATTCCAAATTTCAAATCTGGGCTTTCAGATTCCCATATTCGCAGGAGGATTATGTCGTTCAAAGCTGGATGATTCTAGGTACCGTTGTTTTATCACAATGCGAGAAACATACATACATTTATGCAGATTTTTCATTATTTAATTTCTTCAAATATAATGCAGGACTATTAACATTTGGTGGGAACAGTTTGAAAAGTGAAACGGACATTTATAGTGGTTCAACGCAAAATCGCAAAGCGATCCTTCAGGGACAAAGCCCCTTTGGACAAAAATACTTTGCTTCTTTGCGTATCACCTATTTTTCTCTTGCGTACCACCGGTTGAGAACCCTGTGCTAGGGCATGTCTTTAGCATATTGGCTACCAAGAAACCAGATTTAATACCTGGTGACTAATTCTGGTAGGGGACACATCAACAACCTAGATTTTGTTTCTCCCTTTTCTACAAGTTTGAGTATTCTTAAATAATGCATATCGGTAGCTTCTATGACCTATAGACATGGGAACGCTCAGATGTGTCTGGGCAGAACTTCACGATCACAATCATATTACAAAATGATTACATATGACGATCACAATAATATTACAAAATGATTAAAAATATTACACTGTCATATTATAAAAGTATAAGACCTAGAACATTTGTATCATAGGCATGTAAACTTAGAACGTATTTTAAAACCCATATATGTATTTCAGCCGTACTATTAAAACTCTTGTTTCTAAAGTATTTTAAGTGTCAGTTCCGCTTAGGCTAACCAAATGATGATGAAGATAAGATATATCGCTCAAATCCAAGTAATATAATTTGTCTTATGCATGCACTATATTGATTATTTATGATTATTAATACTCCAAATGTTTGTATTCTGATCGCAGATCATTTATTTATGATGTATGACATACTTTGAATATTTCAAGCAATAATCTTCTACGAAGTAGTTTGAATTACGAGAATTATTAAAGTTCTGTAATTCTGTTTATTATATCCAGAAACCTTAGTGCGAAACGTTACTGCGATGCGAGAGGAATTTGAGATTCTACGCTTATTGCGAAGTGCATAATGAAAATCCTCATACATTATTCGGAGAATATTGTCTTTCCCTTCCGTATCAAGTTCAGAAACCTATTTCTCTGCTTATTTATTATTTTTTTAATTTAAAATTCTGCCATGAAGGTAATAATTCTTATCTCGAAAACTAAATACTCCGCAGAAGCTTTTCTCTAATTAATTCTGTCTTATCAGCCGATATCAGTTAGTATATTAAAATATGATCCACCGTCCAATTATCTTTACGGCGCATTTCAAATTTAGCATTTAAAAATAAGTATTGAATTCTATGGAATTTCCATTAAGAAATCAGAAATGTGACTGCTTAAGAAATCAGATTCGTTTAAGATAAATTTCCTTCAAGTCACATTTCTGATTCATTCGGCCATTAAGCAGCATAGGATAAGTTTTAACTTATTAGTTGATAATTTCAAAGCACGTTAGGACTATCTGCTTAAGGGGAGGAATCGCTTCGTTCGGAAATTTCAAAGGAAAATGTCTGGTGTTCACGTTACAGATTGGTAAATCCAAGAAGAAAACGCTTATGCAGCTGTCTCATTCCGTGTGTTTCGAATCTGGGTCGAATTATTCATTTGACCATTATTGCGTGGCAATTAGATGAGACCATTGAGTGGTGATGGTTCATCCTTGACATAAGAACGGGTTAGATGCACAAGCTTGTGAGACAATACTTGTTAACCGTTGGTAAAGACCAGGTGCTCCAATTCATTTTCACTTGAACTGCACTGGTTTTCTTATACGTGAATATGAGTCAACAACTACCTCACAAGTTTAATAGAAATATAATCTAATTTCGTTCAAAATATGTTCCCTGTAAGCATCACACTTGGACCCCCGAGTTCTTTGCTGTAAGAAATAATACAATACAGCCTAATCCATAAAATACTGCGCATTATCCCAATGTTAGAATAGATTAATAAAAATATAAATAAATATTCACATTTTTTTGTGCAGTTTTACTTATTTTCTTCTGGGAAGTAAAGATAACAAACCACATGAGTTTGAGGGGGGGACGGTAATTCGTAAATCTCCAACACGAATTCTCCAAGTTAGGGAAGCAATCGATTATTTCTCAATGTATGAGTCTTGTAAGGTGATGAAGTAAGCGCCTACTTAATCGATTTTTTCCTATCCTTTTGATTGTTTTGTAGAAGTCTGGACTTTCGAAGAGCAAGAATTGCTGAACTTCGGAGGAAGTGGCGGTTGGACGGAAGAAGTTAAATTTAGCCTTTTGTTCAGGTAAGGACACCATTTACTGCTACTTATTTGCGAAAGGAACTGGCGAAATCTGCAGTGGAATATTTAATTGGGATGAATATTCAATGGCCTCTTATTTTTTAATGAATGAGAATTTGATTTATTCGAAAAGGATTACGTCTTAAATGGTACTGCAAATTTATATTTTGTTTCAAAACTACAGTTTTTGCAGTTATTATTTACAGGTGGGATTCCGGGCAAATGAACAGTTTATTTTCAAATATTTACTGATTCAAATAGTCTCTTCATATTTATTCCTGGCACAGAAATCAAAAAAATCTAATGTAGATATCACATGACTTCCTTGTTCGGCCTATTAAATTATACACTTATTTTGCTGTCTTTCATTTAAACTTATTTTCTCGAATTAAATTAGAAACATATTTCTCATTTGATTAATTCAGTTCTCATTTCGCGGCAAGGCGAAAATACGTAAAAGCTCAAAACACCTTCATTAAAATTTGTAAAATACAGGAAAACATAAAACACCAAATACAGTTAAATAAACACTAAAGCAACTTTTAAATTGCTGATTTCTACACCTATTGCATGAAAATTAATTAAGGCATAAAAACTTCAACCGAAACATAAGAACAGCATAACTTTCAATCACTTTTAAAGCAAAAAATGGGCAATTTACAAATATATAGGAATAAAAAAACTGAACTCACCGAGTCGGGTAACTGAGTGGACATATGTATATATATGTAATAAGAAAGCAACATTGGCGGTGTAGAACGTATAAGGTTGAATCCGTAATGAAGAGCAAACTGACAGCCGAGGCAGATTAAATCTTCATTTTATTTCAGTAAACATGTTACGGCCAGAAACAACTTGACACATTATTTGTGCCTATTTAAAAAAGTTTACATTTTGGATAGCTTTGCAGTAAGAAGGAAGCAACCAGCTAGGCTGGAGAATAGCAAGCGAGTGCGTTATGTTCAAGAAAAAATCTAACTTCAGAGTTAGTTTTGGTTCTAACCCAGTCTATGTTATCCAATCAAAATCCCTAATGGATTTTGATTGGATAATTAATACTGCTGTAAAATTGTTAATTGCTGTTTGGGTTTTAGTACACTATCAGAGTTACGTAAGAGTCATATGACATGCATTAGGCTCGAAATGGTGCAGTGCAAAGAGAGACTGCTATTTTTAGAAAAAAAGAGGTGAAATTAATTTACGCTGCTAGTTTAAATTTTAATTTCTTTTACATATTTTTTTTATTTTTCTTTTATATATATACATACTATATATACTTTTGGTGCAACCGATTGCAACCATATAAGGAGATGCACAATTATATGTCCTATACACAAAATACACACATGTCCTGTACACTACTAGTCCCATAAACAAAATTTCAATTATTGGTTTTTGAGTCATGCAAAGTATCTGTAGGTAGTCATGCAAGGTGCCTGTAGGTACGTACGTACAGTTGTCATGAAACAAATCTCTTTTGAATTCATTTTACAATTCGTTATGGGAAAAGCAGTCCTTCATTTTGTCCGTATGTACAGATCTCACGCAAAAACATCGCTCAGATGGATATTTTCTTTGAAATATGATATCCGAAATTTTTTCGGAATCACAATACTTTCTTTACTTCGTAAAAGGAAGTAAAAAAAGGACAATAATTCACAAATCATTTGGAATTGGTCTAATGAGAGTTATTCAGCATCAGGCGCTTAGGTGGTAGGTCATGGTGTGGGGGGAGGGAGAATGTAATGTTTCATCCATGTGTGCTTTTGTAGTGTAACGATCAACAGAACAGTTCGGTACTTCGATGATTTCACATTAATCTCCGAGTGTGCTTAACTTTCAAACGTTACTTTCTCCTGGTTTGTATAGACCTGCACATAAGGTCTTTCATACATGAATTTAGAATATAATGCTCCATAGGGAAAATATAATTCAACAATTTACATACATACTTCGTGTATTTATAGCCTAATAATAAGATTTTGTAGCTACACCTAAGTAAATATATAGGTAAAAATAAGTAAATGTATTTTTCCTTTACTGTAAGGCTCACCAGCGGCCGAGCGGTAAAGTCGCTGAACACTGGTGGTTCGGTTCGAAGTTTGAATCATGGAAATGGCCTGGCTGCATGGGCGTTTTCGTGATTTTCCCCATGTGTAACATGTATACGAGTCGGTTTTCCTTAGAACGTCCTCTACAAAGGCATCTCTCCCCTTATGCAAGATAGCCTTCGAATAACAAATTATAGCAAAATGTAAAAAATTAATATCTGAGGTTTAAGATCAGAGATTTTTTACCTTTTGGTATAAGAACGCCCCGAAAGATTGGGATCATTTGGTCTTAGGAAAGCAGGGCAATGAGGCTATGTACCACTTAAGAGAGACACCTTGCGCGGTTAACTTTATACAGTTCTATTTAAGTTATGAATCCTTGACAACTGGAGCCTTGGAGAAGAGTGTAACGACTATTCGCTGTTCTTCTTACAACTATAAAATTGAAGTCCAAATGAAATTTTATTCCATTCAAAGAATAATAGAGCTGGCCCCTCTCGAGCTTACAGGAAATCCTCCACTTGGGCTTTAACTCAAGATAGAAAATAAGAAACTAATCAAAACTTAGCCGAAGTTGTTACAGAAATAGCTAACCGAGTTGGCCTGTAAATAAACCTCGCCGGCGAATACTAATAGACACGTAAGACTACGGCCGAACGTAGTAAGGTAGGCTTAAAGCATCGACGTGGCCCCAAGGCAAAACACGCTCTACTGAGAACTTCTGAGCTCTTCTACGGAAGTGACTGAGGTTCCCATTAAATACTGGTTCTACCAGATAAAACGCGATACTGCAAACTCATTCTGGCAGGGAGGTAGAAACAAGAAATTAAAGGAAACGGTTTCAAAATTAAAAATAAGTATTAGAAAATTAAAATAACCCCTAGAACTTTCTACCGAGAAGGAAAAGATACATATTTTTATTTACGCAAGAAGAAAGTCACAGAAACTACTTCTAATATGCTCGATCACCACTAATAATAGAAACTGGAGCGAACTATTTTTATCAATCTTAATGCTTTTCAACTCTTTCATTTGTCAGTCTCAAAGCTGAAAGTTAGGGCGATCGTTTAAAGAAAATTTTATCAATGTCATAACGAATTTGCTCTGTAAATTGAATTTCCTGTTAGTGTGTATCGACGCGTGGTTATGAAAGTTAGAAAGACGTATAGATGGATATTATATGAGTTCAGCCCAGACAAAGGACAAGTTCCATACGAGTGTATCGTCATTTATCTGGTTTTAAAATGGAAATTTTTGCTCAAAATAGTTAGTGATAATTAAAAAAACGCGTTAGAATATCGTTAGTAAATCTCAGTGAGTCATCAACGTAACTTCCGAAGCCCTCATTCGTTAGTCAGAGTGTGTTGTGTAACTGATTGTAACTAAATTATATGAATTTCAGCCAAATTTCAAAGTTTTTGTGAGTAAAAATTGATTTGATGGAGAAAAATACAAAATATGTTGAACAGTTAACTGGATAAATCGTTTTGCTATCCAGCGCTCAGTCGCATGCTATTAGAAAGTGAAGGATATCGTCCGTGTTCTGAGATGAAGAATTTCAGCTGGTTCTAATTCGTCACACCTAGACCCTCGAACCTTATTATTAGATCAAGTATTACCGGTTTTTGTTGCTGAAACAGAATCTAGTTGATGCGCATTTTGACGTGGAAGGAAATATTCAAAATTTATCCTAATCATCAAATTTTCTTTCAGAAAAATATTTATTAGATGAAGGGGAAAATACTTTAGTGTAAATAACGTAGTGGTCTTTTAAGAAACCTTCAACTTCATTAAATATTTTACTCATTTAAACCGATTTTCAATTCCTGAAGCCGTTGCAGTATTCCATGTTTACAATACTTGGTTTTCAACTAATGAACTGCTATTTGCCTAAAACCGCGGCACATAAACCCGATGCGATATCGTAGGTATCTTGGACAGATGTATAAGTTGAAGGACTATGTGCTCCCTGGATAATGAAACAGGAGAAAGCACTCTAGAGGGAACTTGCTTCCAGTAACATTACACATGGCGAAAACTATGGAAAACCACCGTGCAGTCAGTCGTCTGCCTGGAATGGAACCCAGGAGAAACTACGAGCATTCAGCGGTCTTAGCTACTCCGTCAATAGCGGGCAGATGATATATTTAGTTATATGCAAAATAATTTCGTATTTTATTTTAGCTTTCATTTTTTCTCTCCTTTTTTCCTTGTGTGGGAATACTTTTACTTTTAGCAGATCTTGGAAATTTCCTCTAGTTTGGTGAAATCAGTGTTGAATTTTAGTCTACTGAAATTTCTTATTTGTTTTATCACCTCTGAGATTTCACGTAATAATCAAAAATATTTTTGATATGTCTGAAGATCTTAGTGGCCAACCTGTTAAGACAGCTGAGTGCTGGTAGTGTGATCCGGGTTCGAACCTAGTTAAACAGGCTAGCTGCATTATTGGTGTTTGTGGTTTTCGTCGAGTGTAACGTTAACATGAGCTATTTTATCTTAGTAGAACCTCCTCGAAGTTATCTCTCTCCTAAGACAGACGGCACTCGCGCACTTTGCCATGATTAAATAACCTAACTTATTGAAGATCTTACCCTCACCTAATTTAATTCAATAGAGTAACTCCGATGTATATTTTACAACCCCTGATTTTTGTATTTGTAACCATAACCATCAGTGTATTGTCTTACTTTCCTTTATTCTTAACTTCCTGTATTATGCCCACTGCATGCGAATCTACTTCAGTATTAAATATTAAATGGAATTCCTGTACCCCTACTTAATTTTCTTACGGGCGTTTTTGTTGCGTTGAATGATTATGAAATGAGCGTAATATTTTACATTGTATATATCACACATAAAATATATGAAGAGTAATCCGAAAATTAAATAATATATTAGATTTTAGCTAAAATAGTTACAACTGTGAACATCGGAGACGTACAGCATAATATGTAATGTTTGAAATTGAAACTATTTCACTTTATTACTACTTGGAGTGTGGGGTTTGTGATAACGTTTTGTTTTACCAATAGAAATTATATATTACACTAATGTTTGTGAAAAATGCAGAAATTAATGAAATTTATTCCACATATTACTGATAGTGGTACAAAGAAACGATCAAATATACAGGGAAAAAGAACTAACTTCGAAAATCGGTACTTTGAGTGTCCGCCACGCTGAGTAATGAGAGCCTGTACACCGTCGCGGGATTGAATCAAAGAAATTCTGAATACAATTCTTGGGAATGGCATTCCATATGGCTTCGATTTGACGCCACAATCTTAGTGTGTGCCCCACCCGCTATACGAGCGAGTCACCAACCGATGAAATTCCAGATATGATCAGTGGGCGATATATCCGTGTTGCCAGCAGCCATGGCTTCCATGGCCAGCAGGCCATGGAAGAAGCGAAACCTGTTGTGCCCTAAAGAAGGCTTGTGCAGTCTGAGAAAAATGTGCACGGGTATTATCCTGCTAAAATACAGCGTCCAAAAAGTATCGAAGAATGGAGAGGACCTCTGGCTCCACAGCTTCCCTTACTTAACGATCACTGTTGAGGTTGCTCGCAATCTGCACTAAATGGGATCGACATTTATACCCAATAGCTCCCCACACTAGTATGCCATGTGTTTGTGTGGTATGTCGGTGGATAACGCACTGTGGGAGCAGAAGTTCACCTCCTTAACGTTGGATTTGTACTCTTTCATTATTATACTCTAGATTGCAGCGAGATTCACCGGAGAAAACAACTTTTTTCCACAGAGCACACACGCACTGTATTGCCGTGCTCATTGAAGTCGATGTGTCTGTGATTCAGAGACAGGAGAATCCTGCGTAGAGAAACCTTTGAACCTCGCTTATTTTACAGCAGGCGGCGACGAACCGTGGAGCTAGACAACGCAACACGCTGTAACCCTGCTTCAACGTTGTGCTAAAACAACGTTGGAGCAGTTAAGATGACGCTGTACGATCCATCAGAGAGCGATGCGGATGAGGTGTCTGTATTTCCATGCCGTTGTGCTATTTCGTGCACCACTGCCAAGATTTCACCATGTTTGGTTCTCGTCTGCTCATTTCTTCTAAACATGCATCACTTTTGCGTCATTATGCTGCGTGCTGGCTGGGATTGTTCGAAAGTCCACACTCTCGCATACCGACGATACGGCCTCGTTCGAACTCCATTAAATGTTGGTAGGATAGCCTCCGCTGTTGATGAGGCATATTGACCACTAATTAAAAGCTCGTTGCAGACCGAGGACAATAAACAGATTTCAACACAGCTTTACAGTCCTTTACATGCATGGAAAAAGCGGCTGGTTCTCATTCCACGCATGTACGATCGCTTTGTAATTCTAAACATGTGCATGGCTTACTTCACTTTACATTCCCCGTAAGTTTGTTTTGATTTTCATAAATCCTTCACGGTGCTGCAATTTTCACAAACATTAGTGTATTATAACTTCTACCTGGGGCTTAGGCTGCTTTTTTTTGTTAACGCGTCATTGATGTGCCTCTCGAATATTGCTTGCGTTGTTTGTGGAGATAGACAGAGGTAATGCAGATAGACAAAGGTAATCTTCAAATTGTGTTTATTTTTTGTTTCGGGGGGAGGCAATCAATGAAATCAATGATAGCGAAAGATATCATTAGCTAATTTTTCAATTAAAAGTAGAAATTATTCATGACAAACTATATTTACTTTTATCATACACAAGATCAGATAAAGAGGAAAATTTACTCTGCTAACAGGTTTTAAAATGAAAACGAAAATAGCTGAAGATAGCTCAAGTAAAATCAGAAGATATCACTTTGATATTGCGTACTTAATACAGAAATGGTAATCGCGAAATGCAGAATCATTGCGATAAGAAATCCTAAATTTTGAATTTATAAGGTCAGTAACACTTTAATTTTTCACTGAACAATGGCTAAAAGTCATTTACTTGAGCTTCATGGTATCCTAAAACTGAAATGTCTGAACTTCAGCTAAGAAACCTTTTGAGGCGAGACACTCTTCCAACATCTGCGGACCTAAATGATCAGTACAGATGATGCCTCGTGCAAAGTAAACATAACTATAATTCATATCTACCTTCATTTGCGAAATGTACCTTCATTTGTGGCTTGCAAGAAAATGTTAGTTGGCACTTTCCGAAAACCGTTGTCTTAAGCTGCTGCATATGTCACCAGTGCTTAGAGCCTTCCTTCTCATAATCTCGTATTAAGTTATTTGTTATAAATGTTGAGAAAACAGAGGGGGGATTCACCACTGCAATAACCTAAAATAACTGCTTCTAGGTTTCCCAAAAAATGTATTTTCTTGAAAATAATATTTTTAAATATCGCCACTTTAACGAGGAAATCGCAAAATGTTGCAGACTCGGTAGAGTTTAATAGATTATAGCTACATTTTTGCGTGAGCATTTGTCCAGTCCAGCTTGAGTATAGCATGCATTTACACGAATTAATTATCGCAAAATAATAAACTAGTTGAATGTACCACACTGTATTCATTACCACAAAGTGAAAAATTATACAAAATCTTGGGAAATTTGCCCATAACAACAACAAATTAAGAAGCAAATCCAATAACAAAATATGCCTTTAACTAGATGCGCAAGTAATAGTAATTCTGTGATAAATAAACTCATATAACGGGGCTAAAGCTCATGGAAAACTCGTATCCTGCAGTAAGAAAACGGTTGCGTCATTTAGCCATTTCGGACTGACTATGTTGATAATGCTGTTCCTGTTATAAATGACAATTCTCTGAAGACATATAAATATAACGGTAAAACCAACTGAGCGATTTTCATAAAGATCTCTTCACCGTCTTCAGGGAAGCGTGCTAGTCGTTCTGTCAGTTTGTTTGGCATGAGAATCAAAGCGATAAGTTAATCAGCCAAAGATCGTCATCAATAAATGCTACCGTTACCCCACGAAGGCATGCAGAAAGAAGGGAGAAAATACCTGATTTATTATTACCCATTATTGATTTAAGATGTAGCCAAGAAAGACCAATGTATTATTTTAGGTATTTATTTATTTTTCTTCGGAATGATATAAACCAATATTTCTAATCTTTTGGCTGCGACTTGCAATTTAAGGAAAAATATCATGATAATTTTGTAAAAATATAATTACCTTGTATGATATTGCCCTCATGGTGCCAGGATTGTATCGTGGAAAACAAAGCTCTTTAAACGAGAAACTCTGATTATACAGTTCTTATTCTGTTGACAGCACTTTTTAATAAACATACTGACATTTTATACAACATTATATTGAAATATGCAAGTTTACCATTACTTTCCCGCCTTATGCTGAGATAATTAAAATTTCGACCTCAGTATTTTTTAAACACCCTGAAGAAATGCTGTTTTCTGGTGCCTTGGCAAAAAGTTATTGTCACTTGAGAGAAATTCTTGTTGCAAATCTCGTGCGCTAGCAAACCTGTGAAATAAGTATACAGTTACGTCTTGAATAATTAAGTCTACTTTACTAAGTAAGCACATAAATTTCTGAATAGCTTTAGTTTTTGATGAAATAATACTCTAGTAATTTATTTTCCTGACGTAGCATTGCTCTTTTTAACAGTCCATTCTAAGTGTGTGATTTTATATTTTACATCTTTAATTCCTGGGATATTAGTTCTGAAACTAGTAGGCTAATGTAACTATTTAGCATAAAATTGTTCTAGGCATTCAACTGGAATCATCATATGAATATCAGGCTGCAATTTTTTTGATTCTATGATTTTTACATTTTAGAACTTTTTAATTATTCTGTCAACCTTTTGATATTTTGACAGCAAACGTTTCGAAATACTGTTAACTGAAATTTCGTCTCTGATCTGAAATTTTTGATTGCTTATTTTAAATATTTTTCTGTAATTAATTAATTTTAATTCAACTTACTTCTCAAAATTTATTTTTATGCTGTATCTACTTTAAAATGTTTAGAAAAAGATATTAATTTAAAGTATTTTTAAATTTTTAGATTTTGCAAAAGTAGTATTTACAAATTGTGTTATGAAAATTTCAAACATTCATCTATAAATGACTGTTTATAAAGAATATTACTCGATCCCAACAATAATACTAATTTGAAATAAATATAATGGGCACTGTTCTAATTTATCCTTTCTAGTATTTTTGCAGATACTTACGTCATATGAAATATGAGTAATGTGAAATAATAGTGCTTAGACTAAGCTTGTGCCTCATTTTATGCATAATTAACTTCTTTGCTGTTTTCTGTGGGCTGAAATTTTATTTTGAAATAAGTACTCTGTTATTTTGCAATACTTTCATTTAAAAATTTTCCATGCCTTCAAGAACATTTTTCTAATATCACCGAACTTTTCATGACAAAGTCCTTGAACTTTTGCAGCCAAGAGAGCTCCAGTGGGTCGATGGATCTTGCCTGTGACGTCACGATGACTCCCGATTACCTCGCTCTCTCGTGGGCCAATATTGTTGTCATGGTAACGCTCCAAGCACCTTTTCACCAGCTTCGCAAGTCGTGGGAGCGGCGGTTCTTGGACCCATACGGATACCATCCCTCTGTCACGTGAGTTTGATTTTCTTTACTTGTTCCTGGTCGATTGAGTATTATTATTAGACGTCACGGTGGGTTCTTGACACGCAAACAATCTAGAAAGACAGTCGGAAATAAACGTCATCCACAAATTCAATAAAACAATTGAAAATGGAATAGAATTTGACGGAAAAATCTTGCCAGATAAACCGATACCTTAATTGAACCAATCATTTATTACCTGTACTTCTGTGGTTATAGTATTCTAATGTACTCATGTATCAGAATATACATACGTATGTATAACACATTATCCTCCATTACTACTGTGCAATCAGGAAATAGCGAAAAAGCAGAAAACCTCAGGTTCTGGTGAGCGTTTCTTTTAGGTGAAGTGTAAATGGTGGAAGCTTCTTGAAATGGCTGCTTCCTAACTATCATGTAATGTATTGGCTTCAGTGCTAATTATCATAATGTGCAAAATTGGGCAAACATCTGCTAAAATGTGTGCTGCCTTTCAACGTGCAGTACAGCTTCCCCACCAAACTTAGTACTCTGCTATCTAGTGGCCGTTAATGCGATGGTATGAATGTTTCGATAATTTTAGATGATGCATGCGACCATGGTACTCTTCAAGAGAGTTGAAATGTCAGACCCCACACATTTACAAAGGCATAATTCATTAAAGCGCGTTTAATTGGAGCATAGGTTACAGAAGCATCAAAGAGTTTTTGACGTGTAAGGAGCTCTGTAACAGCCGTTATTGCAGCATACACGAAAGATGGTAAGATGGCGTCTTTAAAGCACAACAGTGGGCAAAACACAAAGCTGGCTTATAAGGACAGATGGATGCTCAAGAACGTAGTGGCCCAAAAGCTAAACCAATCTCTATCCTAGATAATATCCAAAATGAAAGCTCATTCCAACAAAAGTTATTAAAAGGGAACTTCATGCTAAGAACATATATAGCAGAGCGGCAATCCATAAACCGTTGGTAACGACATCTGAAATGAAAAAATCAACGTTCTTCCTTATTTCTGATCATCGTATGCACAGATGTCCGGAGAACACCCATAAAAGCATATGCATTTAATCATGACCTGCATATTACTTTGCATTGGTAGATCAAAGACTATCAGAACATAATCGAATATTATGTACATCCTTTTCTTCAACTTTATGCTTTGGAAAATAAGCGATTTTTCAAGAACCAAAGCTTCCATCTGCGCTGTTAAGTCTGTTCGAACATGGTTCGATGAGCAACAACGATAAAGTATAGCAACTCGTCTAGGTCTCTCCTTTCCCTGACCTGAACCGTATTAAACACTTTTAAAGATATCTAGAATCTAAACTGTGTATTCGAATCCCACCTTTAATTAAATTTCGAAATGGGAGACTATTCTAAATGAGAAATGGGTTATATTCTCTTAACTGTTGTGCTAGACGCATCCGTCACACGTCGCAGACAATGTATACTTCAGTGAAAAGGTTTTCAGCCCCCTGTTAATAAGGAGTTTCCTTTATATGAATTATTTTGCTCCTCAGCTGTTTAAGAACAGCAGTCAATAGTTTTAGAATGCCGTTGCTGTACTGAAGACGTCGTGATTTTTCAGAAATTTTGAATATCATTATTAAAAATTATTACTTGCATTATTGGAATGACGAGAGAAAGGATGCGAGTGCAATACATTGCGGCATGTGTAAGCCGAAATGCACTGACATTTGGACGATGGTAAATGATAGTGACAAAAGAGAAGATATTATAATGTAGCTATAAATTTCAAACGATTGAAAGCATATTTCAGAATAAATCTCTTATTAAGCAACTATCTATCACGTAATGCTTTACAACGACGTCAGTGGTGCAAAGCTTACCAATGCTGAGCTCCATATCAACAGCAATAAACCATCTGAAATGATAAATCAACATTCATCCTATTTCAAAACACTTGGCGCATTTATCTCTGACCTGCTTCCCACTTGTGTACTGTGAATCATGAATATGGCTTTCTATTCGTATTGCGTGCTATATCTTGGCTCACTCATTATTATGCATGGGAAGATCAATAGCCGATCGGATTCATCCTAGCGGATGATGCGCATCCTTTTATCCATAGTTTATTCTTTGAAGAACGAGCGATTTGTTAAGATGCCGACGCTCCTATCTACGCTGTAAGTCTGTAAGTGTCTATACGACATACAACCGGAGCAATTCTGCAGTTCCATTTCATTCTATTTTAGCACCTACCGCCACTAGCCTAGATTAATTAGGTGAAGGTTATTTGAATTCTTGGCATCAATTAATTGTGGATTAATTCTTGGTAAGGTCACTCTATCAAATGAAAAATTAGGCCAAAAAATTTAGATATGAAATATAGGCCAATCTAAGTTTACTTTGCTCGGTAATTTTTATATAATTCCTATGCTCTGATGGTAATGTTTTAGTAGGGTAAAAGCTAACTATCATGCCAAGAAAAATAACTCTTTAGTATTTGTAGTGGTAAAACGAGTTTTTATTTACGTGCCTATGCTAAACTTGTGTGCATGTTGAGATAGGCACACAACTGAATTTGTGTGGCCATAAATGTCTTCTAACGAAGTAGATTCAAACTGATGGCCCGCATCCGCGAATTAATTTCAATTTTATATTTGCTTGTAAATATAGTGTTTAAAGTTTTGAAGGCAAAATACGTGGACTGTGCTTATGTGCATGACTGCTCTTGAAAGATTCGTGGGGTTTGTTTTTATGATTATTAAAAAGCATCTGCCTAAGGGAAAGGATGATTTTCTAAGGAAAACTAGCTCCTATCTACATCATACGGGGGGGGGACACAAAAACGCCCATGCAACCAACCCGTTTGCCTGGAATCAAACCAAGATCGAACTGCCATTGCCATTCGGCCGTTGGTGGGCTTCTATTGTTGAAAGAAACAGAGATAAAAAGAATAGGCTCGGTCCTAGTATATTAAAGAACCTTGGGCTCGGTCTTTGTCACTGTTTATTTGTATAGCAAGCCACATGACTGGGGAAAAGTGAAAGTTCTTCCCTTATTGGTAGAAACAAGGAATGTAGTTTGTCAGCCGGCAGTTGATAGCGCTTCAGTATTGTGCTGGTTTCTTTTTCTCCCTGTTAAATTGGTGATACTGATAGCGTAATTCCCTTCAATCAGTCAGTTGGTGGTTAATTGAATGAAAACTACGCACTTTACATTGCTATACGGGAGATACAAACTAATGTATGGCTTATTAAACCTACTTATTTTTGCGTGTTGCTGACCTACTTTACATCAATACCTATCGTCTAGAATTTTTGTGGAATGAATGTATAGGAAATGAATGTGTTTTGTGTGAAATATATATATTCATATATGTGTATCTTACATATAACACATACATATATAATAATATACATATATATGTCTGTGTGTAGGATAAAAAATGTTAATCAAAATTTCAAACTTAAATTTGCTATAGCTCCTTAACTTTTACAAGCTAGTTATAGAGACTGATCTTTTAAGCTTTGAAGCCATTTAATTAGCTACTCGGTCTGCAAGGAGCAGAAAATATCGGTAGGTTCTTCCTTTTCCTGCTCCACATTAAGTAGCAGATTTTAAATCGCCATAATAAACTAAATTTTTTAGCCTTATTGAATGTATTGACGCATGGAGCTTATATGTTCCAGCTACCAGGTAAACGTTAACTGTGCATTAGAATCTGAGTATTCCATTTTTTGTTCTAAAAATAGTGATTATAACAAACTTTTCTAAATTGCATCATTTCCAATTAATCCATAAGCATACGATCTTAAATAACGTGCAATATAAATACGTCTTTGCAAATCAGCCGATAAGTTTATATCAAAACTTCTTTGGGAACCAGAATCTTTTTGCGCTTTCCCAGGCTTTTTTTTTTTTTTTTTTTTTTTTCAGAGGGGGAGGAATGTGTAGCACTTTTCCGGATTGTTTGCTTTTAGCTTAACACGTGGCTGCTAACTTTTCTTTATCATGTATTGTAATTATCTTAATATGTAGTTAAGTTCCAAAAATGTGTTGAAAATTGGATGCAATAAAATAGAGAGGTTGACTGTAAAGACGTTGATCCATTCTCTTTTAGAAATATGTGAAGTCATATTGGTGCAATAAGACTTATCCATAGTTGATTTAAATATTAATTTTTATTTTAATTTACCCTTTTTGGCCGAAAATCACTTGGAACACTATCTATGCCTTTTTCAGAATATTTACATTTTTGGTTTTCAGAACGAAATTTTAATTTAAAGTGGGCTGGTTTCGATTTCAGTGTCATTTTTATTGGCTAATTAATAAAGCTGTAAAATTATTGTTTGATGCTTTAGTTCATTTAGCTATTTAGTTCGCAAAACTATTTACATCATCAGCGTTGTGTAAGAGTTATAGACTGATGGCTGTTAATTTTGAAATGACGCAGTTAGAGAAGTTTATTATAAACAATTAATATTCTTAGAACAGAATACCGAGAATCACCAGTACCAAGAAGAAATGAAGAGTTAAAAGGTATTTCAAATTTAAATTTGAAATTTTAATTTATATATTTTTATTTAAATACTGGATAGATATACATACATATACAGGGTGTCTCAAAAGGTCGTTGCCAAACTTAACATGTTGATCTGTCATACCATGACAAACAAGATAGTACATAGGAAACTGCGTCAGACAATGCGAACGGCGATCGCTAGAGGACAATGTTCTCAGCTTATAGGAGAGTGGGAAGTTTGATCATTTCAGACGAGGACATTGCAGGAGAAAGATGATTCGTTTTATTAACTCAGTTCTTTATTGACGCTTTGTGGAAAGACTTCTGCCGGATACGATTTTTAGACGTTCCAGCAGTTACACGCAGAAACATCTGGTTTTAGCATGATGGAGTTCCTGAGCATTTAAGCAGCACTGGGAGGGAATACCTCGATAAGACATATCATGATCGTTGGATTGATAATGGCGGACCAGTCGCATGGCTACCACAATCCTCTGACCTGACATCCCTAGATTTCTACCTTTAGGGTTACATGAAGTCGATGGTGTACAAGACGACAGGAACATCGGATATGTGTCTCGTTGCAAGGATTGTGGAAACAGCGGCCAATGTCCATGACATACCTGCTCATTTTGAACGGGTCCGCGAATCCATGCGTTGATGTTGTGAAGCATGGAAGAATGGAAGGAATTTGGAACATCTTCTGTAATTCAGTCATGTTCTTTATTAAAAGTCATATTAATACCACTTTCGAAATCCTTTCTTTCTTCCCCTCTACGCTTGCGAATATTGCCCTCTAGCGATCTCCTTTTGCATTTTCGAATGCAAGTTTCTATGTAAAGCTTGTTTGTCATGGTACAACAGACCAACATGTTACGACCTCTTGAGATACCCTGTATATGTTGAACCATACAAACAGTTACGTGGAATATTCTTTCTCATTTTATTTAAAAAAGTTTTAACCTGTCAGCTGCTTTCAAATCGTACGTTTAGCCCGCATGCACATTGAGGCTGAAAGCAGTGGTTTAACGCATCCTACAGTGCTAGAGGTTATCATGACACGAGTCCGAAGTATCATTAACTTCTTTAGAAGTTTTCTTTGGCTTTTTTAAAGACAGTTGACTGCAATATGGTGTGCTTAAACAAACTATTTGTTTTACTTGGGGGGGGGACACTACAAAATCCTTCCATTCACAAGATATTGCACGATCAAATTCCATCTAAAGCTCCTTACCATATTCCAAATAAACACTCAGGTAAAATCTGAAAAATTTCGAAAGCTTCTTATTTTCCAGTAAAAGTTTAATCATTGAAAAAATCGATTATATTAGAAATAAGTTGTCAATAATTTATCTATAAACATTAAATCACTTCCATTAACCTACACTTAGTTAATGTAATGCTCGTGGTGAGTTTCATACATATATTAAAATGCTGTAACTCTTTTTATATCTTATTCACATCTTCCGAAATCTGTTGGGAAAATTTCTTTTAGGCTTTAGGAAGAATTAAGAAATATTGCTTAAAATGCAGAACGATATTGCTGCTGCATTAGAAAAGTTTCTTTCTATTAATCTATAGCTTTCTGTTATCAATCCTCATCAATCTAAATCGATTTTTGTACAAAGATTTTTGCACATTCCGCTGCACTTCTCTAAAATGTTTAAATAAATTAAACTGCCAATCTTTAAGGATTCTTGTACGATTTTTCTCAACCATCATTATTTTATAGATAAGAGCATTTTCTATAGCAAATAGTTAGATATCTTTTGAATTACTCCTTTTTTCAAATTGCCAAAGCAATTAAATACTGAAAATCACAAGAGGGATAATTTCGTTTCTTTTGGTCTTTTACATTAAAAAGTCTTTTTTTTTTTTTTTTTTAAATTGTACCTTCTCATTTTCCTTTTTAAATTACTAAATCCAATTTATCATTAAAAGGATCACTTAAAAAGTAAAACGTCATCAACAGATCGGGAGAATTTTCTGTTTTCTCACAAAATGAGCCGAATGAAACTTTTGGCTATTGTTTTCCTTAGAATCTGAATTTCTTATAAATAGCTAATTAATAAGTATTAGATGTAGATAACTAACAAGCGAGGCAACGTAACGAAACTGCCGGATATTAATGGAATCAGTTACATGTTCGTTTTCTGAAAACATAGTTAAAAATAGTTATATTCTTATTTTTACTTATTCTTAATTTTGCAAAATGCTCTTAATTTTCAATGATTAGAATTCTTTGATAATAATATGTTGACTGTGAAATACGAGAAGGAGCTTCAGTGTTAAGTTACAATCAATTTCATAAATGCAATCACTATTTGAAATATGTTTTAGTAGAAAGCAACTGATGATAGTTCTCGCCATTTGTGCGTTTTATAAATTACTTATGTCAATCTATAATTTTTTTTAACCTTGATTAATATTTTCTTATCGATATTTGTCAATATACACTCTGCATACGAAAGAAGAAAAAATTCTTCCTGTTTAGAAAAAATGTTTAATCTTAGTGAAACTTGTTATGAAATAATTAAACCTGGATGATGGCAAGCCATTTATTGAATAAACGTAAGTTTAGAACAATTTTATATTATTAACATGAGATACAGTTGCCATTGGCGGCTCGATCATGAGGATTTCCGGTCCGACATGCACGTTTACATACAGTGAATGCTGCACAGTTTTCTGCAATTACGATGCAATGATTCTGCACAGCGTGGCTCAGTACGTTCATACAAGTGGCGAGATTGAAGCCCTAATATGCCTTATATGGGACCAGTTGAATTTGGCTGGATAATGGAAGGTTGTGACATATGCAGGTTTTGAGTACAAACGCGCATTATTTTGCAAAACCATAATCCTCAACAGAGGCAATAGCAATACAGTAAATTACAGTATATCACCAACGTATCATTAGGCCAATAAAATACTTCGAAGCATCACTAAAGGTAACAGGAAATCACACGCAATATGATCGGCGTATGCCAATCCATAGTTGTACGTGGGGAAACCATGCATTAATTTACGGTCATTTGAGCCAAACAAAAACCCTAATTCATCATGCGGCTTCAGTCCTACACAGTCTGAGTTGATATTACTGGCATTATAATACAACAGGCCATTGCTATAAATGCACAAGCAAGTCGTAGCACATACCAATAATCGAGCCTAAACATCGCCGATATATTTTTGCAACCATAGTTCATACCACTACATGGGCAAACATTGTGGATAAAGGGACATCGTATTGGAACCTTTAATAACATATAACAGCATCATCTTTCCGTCCCTCGCACAAAGATGTTGATGCAGCTTTTGCAGAACTCTCTCAGTCGGCCGCATCACTTTCAGGTGGAGTTTTAGTAAATTCTAGGTTTTTTAAAGCAAATAAGATATAGAAAATATAGTTTGAATTGATCATCCAGCCGGCATAACAATTAGCCTTTACATGTATTTTTGAGTTCACTTTATACTCGGTTTGCGTGTTTATTGGCCAGGTATTTTCTGTCATTGCTTTCCGTTGTTAAGATGCAATTCAATGTTAAGCTTCGAGACTGTTAGGCAATTTTCCTATATGAGCAAACATTTTTTCTCCCTTGTTTTTGATACAGAGTGTCTTTAAAATATTGTTAAAATTTTATTATACTTAATTAAGCTGAGCTTTTTTCTTTTATAAAATACTGCTTTAAGTTAATAGCATTTTAGTCAAATGGACTTAAAAAGAATAAATGTGCTCGAAATTATTTTTGTTTAAGCGGAGAACATTTGAGTGTTTTACTGCCATGAACTGGTTCGAAGGAAGGTTTGAAAAGAGGATTATAATATTTCCCTTTTTCAGGTGCATAGTCAACGGTTCGTTTACTGATGCCAGTAACAATGAAATTGCAGCTGCTGTCCAACAAGGTTCGAATGTGACGGTATGTTAAAAATTATTTTGAATTTCGTTTGAATGATTGCGATATTTTATCCATTTAGATAATAATTTGAATTCTGGTATCATTCATCGTCAAATACTTGGGCTAGTTACAATGAACCTTCTCTTCGCCAGCCATCAGCGGTTAAAAATGATTTCGGTGTTCTGCGGAGGTGGTTGTTTTAGAGAAGTGATATGAAATACTAGTGTTTATATATGCTTTAAGAAATAATAGTCACTTTTAGAAGTGGTCCCTAAGAAAGAGTTTGGTGTGTTTATTTTATGGACCGAGAGTTCAAATGCTCATTATGCTATAAAACGCATTGTAACAAGATTTTGCTACAGATTGTATTTCCTTGCCTTACAGTACTCAGTTGTTGAATTTTAAATATTTTATTTTTTGTGGAAAAGTAGGAAACGTCTTCAAAGAAGTATCTATGATTTCACTATTCGCCAACAGTGTTTCTTTCTGAATTTCTAAACGAAATTATCGCATTAACATTGTAGTATAATTTTATGAAATGCGTAAAAGTTCATATTAGTTCATCTTTGGTTCCTACGAAATGTAAGACATTAATTTACTCTGAGGGATTTTATTTGATTCTAAGAATGATTTAAAAATATATTATGCTTAGAGTTTCTTAGTAAGATTCAAATATCTTAGAAAAAGGCTTGTAGATAATAATTCGAAGACACCTCATATTTTAAGGCAGCAGGCTTAAGACTTAGAATTCAGTTAGTCAATACATTTAATATTTTATAACGCAAGAAAGTCACCCAGTTCTCTTCTTGGATAGCTTTAAAATGCTATGCCGTAATTCAACAATTCCAGAGAAATACTAAATTTCACTAAACATGCTTTCTACCGTTGGCAGGAATTGGGAAATACTTGTTGAAGATAGTCAAAGAAGAAGCATTCCTTTTTTGAACTTCTTTTCTGTGAATATCTTTTTATGGATTTTCAAAACAGCATTTCTGTTAGATATTCGTTTTTGTGAATATCTGTTTTTCATATAGGACACGAATATTTGCGTTTCATCGTGTCAGGTCTCTGCTTCCAAATTAAAATAATACTTAAGCACATGGAAACTTCACTATAACGGCCTTTTAAATCATGTTGCTTAGATAGTACATGACACATGATTTTCCTTATAAAAACAATACGTAGCAATTATTCCAACCTTACACGCTTATTGACGTGTGAAGAATCCGTTGGTCTTCAATTCACTTTATACTGTAGCGAATCATAGTAGAAAAAACATGGTAGTATGATAGGCTGGAGTTGGTTCTTTGTTATACAACGGCTCGACTATAAACAAAGAAACGACAAAATAATTTCCAAATTGACGTCAATAATTTACGCGTACAGCCGTAGTATCTAATTATTTAATGTCTTGAAGGAAGTTTCAAATAAAGTTTTATCGCCGTGGCTCCTTTAGTGAAACCAATGATTGGTTGAATGCTGGTGTCACAAAGATGAATGCCTTCCAACACGAGAAAAGTAGTGAAATCGTTCTAAACAGAAGACACAAAATCATTTCAATTAATTGAATCAGCCTTTTCCTCCATGATGTAGAGGAGAAAATCCAACGTTAATGAACCACAAGCAAGCGTGTTCCAATTAGCTGTTCTAATATAAAGAAGAGTGGATCTCAGCCGAGGTAGCATTGCATAAAACAGAGAAAGAATCTCTTTCTCAATGCCATGCTTCTGAATTTGTTTCCAAATTTTCAGAAATTTCGGGATACATCTTCCTATAGCTACTAAATTCAGAAAACAACTTAAATCTTTATTAGTGGATTTGCCGTTTTTGGGGAGTGTCTGTTTCAACACTTTACAAGGTCCCAAGTTTGTAAAAAGTTTGGAAACTGGAATATTCCGCGTTTATTTGCAGGAGTAGAAGCATTAGAGAGAGCAATTTCATACTTGCGATCTGTTTCAGAATTGAAAAGATTCTTCTTTCATGCCCTATCTTCAAAATGCTGTGGTTCGGGACCGAAAAGAACAACATCTTGAACTTAGATTAGGAAGGCATACCAAAAAATGAACTAAGATTGAATTCGCTAACTATATTGATTAAAAAAGCATACGAAAATTTTGGTAGCTACGGAAAGGGCTAAATACGGTGTATTATGTTTGTGTGCCCAGTTAAATCCCGTAACCGGATATAAGAGATGCGTAAACGTGACCTACGAGTTACCTTTCATGGTAGAAATCTCATTCACGAAGGTCTTTAGGCACGTTAGAAAGTTATAAAATCCTACAATAGCTATGGTAGAAGATCGGTGTGATTAGACAAACTCCTATACCTTCTTATTATAAATGGCACGTTTCGATCATTATAAAGGCTGGCAGTTCCTTGTTTTGAGAAATGAAGTCATACACTTATGCTTATAAAATGTCTATTTCTTAATACATTTATTCGTAAATTAGATAATGAAAGAATGTGCCATTTCTAAAAACCCCGTTTCGGTACTCTGATCCCTAAGCTGTTTTTCTAATGGGATTACATAAATTGATTCAATCAAATTAATTTTAAGCAATGCCCGACTTCTTAATTATTTTAGCAGCTACATACAGAGTCACCACGAAGTTTTTGCCGATTTTAAGTGAATGAAAGCTGTTTTCCATTATTTGATTGGAAAAAAAATTACGAAGTGTTTAAAAAGAATTTTGTTTAAACATACTCTTTTTTTAGGAAAAATATCATTTTAGTGTAATAATATGATAAATAAAAAGGGGTACATTAGGGAGATGTAGGTACATACGAGTATTTTGACTAATTTAAAATAAAAGGTTGTTAATGCATAGGGAATAGATTATAAAAATTAATAAAATAGCTGATAAAATGTATATATTAAAAATATTACACAAGTGGAGTTTTAACTTTAAACAGATCCTCTTTTTTTAGCCCAAAAGAGCATTAGCTTAGAAGAGAAGCATTAGTCTCGAAACGGCATTTTGCGTCGGTTCACTATAAACGGCATATCACTTTAAATTTTGTGACCAAATATTATCGCCCTCTATTATATTTAAGGAAATTAGATAATGAAGAATCTGCATAATGTATGCATGTTTCTCGCACTGTCAAAAAACGACGGGTATATTGAGCCATCAAATTCTGAATAACGTACTCCTCCACCGAACCTGGGCGTCCAAATTTTCAATTTAGAATTTGTTTTATTATCTAATTTTAATATTATTATCTATATTTTAATTTGTCGTTCCATTTGAAAAAACTTTACTTAATTTTAGTTTTAGAAAAGCATTTGTTCTAAAAGTAAGTAAGAGAATTATCAACCATATTCGTAAGATTGTAAACAAATATGTAATCACATTTCAATAACGTCCCAGTAATAATTATTTTGTCATATGTGGAAGGCTAGCTGTCTATGATAAAAAGTTTCCATTATTTTTAATTTAGCAAGCATCTCAATGATTTCTAGATTACGTTTATTATATGCGGTATTACTGTTTCTATTTATTACAATGATTTATTAAATTTTATTACTGTAAATCATTTGAGAAACCAAACTCGTTCAAAATTTAATAACAGTCATTCAAATTTAATAACAAAAAATTTAATAACAGTTATGCTTTTTTAAGTTTTAGAATTCATCTCAATATTTCAACAATTCGTAAGATTGTAAACAAATGTGTAATCACATTTCAATAACGTCCCAGTAATAATTTATTTTGTCATATGGGGAAGGCCTAGGGGTCTATGATAAAGTTTCCATATTTAATTTAGCAAGCATCTCAATGATTTCTAATTACGTTTTATTTATGGGTATTACGTTTCTATTTATTCATGATTTATTAAATTTTTACTGTAAATCATTTGAGAAACCAAACTCGTTCAATTTAATACCATTCAAATTTAATAACAAAAAATTTAATAACAGTTATGCTTTTTTAAGTTTTAGAATTCATCTCAATATTTAACTCTAGATCTTTTATCTCCAAAATGATAAGGAATTTCTACCGAATATTTATTTTAGACAATCTATTGATTCATTAGTATTTTCATAATATAGATGAGTTTTATTCTTTCAGTTTCTTAATAAATTCAATTATTGAAAATATTACACGATTTTTTTTAATATTTATTTTTGGGGTGTCTTTAAAATTTGTGATGACTTTAATTTTATCATCTTTCGTAACTTTTGGAATAATCAATATATAAAAAATAAATGTGTAATTACAGATGCATTTTTAGTTAATGAATTAGCTCCAGTTTATTACTTAAATGTCGCATACAGTGTTCAAATTTTCATTGCTTTGAATATCATTGAGTTTTAATCAATCTACTTCGATAAACCACTTCTAATGCATTTTATGGTGCTGAATTTAGTACTTCATTTTAAAATATTCCATCTATCTGCTGACCTGCTGTACAGTTACTTTTCTAAATCTGTATTTTCTATTGTAAAATTTAGTACTGTATTTTAAAATATTCCATCTACCTGCTGGCCGGATGAGTAATATACAGTTACTTTACTAAACCAGAAAGTGGAAGCTATTGTATGCCATATTTAGTAGAATTATTTTACTATTATAATTTTACATCATACTGAATGAAAACAATTCCGCCAATGAAGTTCTTTGAAAAGTCTTGGAACAAAGAATAAAAAAATTTTTTTTAGATAAGACTGTAAAATTACTGTTGTACTCATTGGAAATACATAGATTTCTAATAATAATAATAAAGCCCATGAATAATAATAAAATTAAACCATTCTTTCGGAAGAATATTCAACAAAGAGAGAACTACTACGAACTCAGTTTTCCTGCGGAAAAATGGAAGGAAAATATTGGCAATTTGCCAAAAAGCCAAAAATCTTTCTCGATTTGTTTTCTTTTTAACTGATCGTTTACGAGTAACTTTGTTCAATGCAAAGGAACTGGAGGAACCGAATGAATCCCCCTGTTATCCCCCCGCCCTTTTGTGCGCGTATTTTGAGATGCTTTGAACACCAAAAACATTTGGCAATTTTAAGTTACAAAATGTTGGTACTTAGGTTTGGAAGCTAAAAAATTAAAGTGCATTCCAGAATAAATTACTTTTAATTCTTAGAATAAAATACTTCAGACTAATTACTGTTCACTTTTTTGCAGAGAGCACTGTATGGTATTATCAGATTTTCCAAGCTTTCGAATCGTCCCAACCAAGAAATTTCCTTTTATCTGTTTGTTTTGTTCACATTCTAAACGTACGGAATAAAAGAAATTAGGAGATGCTGTCAGAAGAGGGATAACTAAAGGCCGACAGGGTCGAACATGGGCTACATAGAGATTTCGTTATTTTTTCTACGTGTAATGGAAATACCTGGGATTTAGGTGCCATCCACAAAACGTCTTCTTTAAGGTTATTTCCAGTTCTAACATTTTGTCGACTAACCAACGTCCAAGCGATAGAGATCCGGATTAAAATCCTACCAAACGGGCTGGCTTCATGGACGCTTTTGTGATTTTCCGCATGCCTAAAGAGATAAGCCATTTTGACTTCGAAAGTCCTCAATGAAGGCGTTACTCCTCTTAGGCAGATAGCCCTCACCTGCTTCGATTAATAAAGCAAACCGAACTTAAACCGAGTATTTTGCCGTAATAATGGTTTAACCTTTAACCTGTATAGATTCAGAAACCTTTTAAAGAGATGCTGCTTTTAAATATTTTGCGATTTTGCTGTCGAATTGAATTTTATGTGACGTAAGTGTGAAGAACTTGATATTTGATAAATGAAGTTAACGCACAAAAGGCTAAGAATGGAAAGCCAAAACAAGTTCTGTAAGCCATCTTACAAAGAAAATTGAACATTGATATGATTAACTGAAAAAAAATAGAAAAATGACTGCCAACATTTAACACTGCATCTGGAATTCTAAACACATGCTACTACGCTTCGTTTTAAAATGTTTTAAATTTTACTCTTGAATTGTGTATGGCAAAAATGCGAAAAAAGGTGCTTATCAATAAAGCTAAAAAGGTAAAAAAGAAACGGTTTAGCAGGAGCGTAAAAAATTCTTAATAAACTCTTTTGAACGACCGTTAAAATTCGAAACTTTTCAGATTCTTGTTAGCCCAAAGGAGCGTTAGCCTACACGGGCTATTTGTCTCGAAACGGCATTTTGCGTCAAATCACTATAAACGGCTGTATCACTTTTTAATTTGTTGCCACCAAATATTATCACCCTGTATTATATTTAAAGAAATTAAATGATGAAGAGTTTGCATGAATGTATGTAGGTTTCTCGCAAAGTGAAAATATAACAAGACCTATAGCCGTTGAATAGCGTAGTCCTTCCCCAAATATGGGCACCTAGAGGCCCGAAACTTGAACTTAGAATTTGTTTTATTACCTATTTAATATTTTTAAAACTTTAACGAATTTTTGATTAACAAACTCAGAGATTTCAAACGAGCAGAGACAACACACTATATGCAATAAATTATTTTTATCTTCAGCGCGCAAGCCTGTCTATTGGAAATTCTAAAGATAAGATATGCTGTTTTTTTAGCCTGAAGGGACATTAGTTGAAATGCTCTCGAAACGTGTATGTGTGCTTTCCGATTAATTTTTTTTTAAATTTTATTTCTTTTCCCTTTTTTTTTTTTTTTTTTTTCTGAATGGTTAAAACATGCTAGATTATTCCATCCTTAAATTTCTGCAGTTTAGTGACTAAAAAAGAATTAAAGATCTTGCTTTTGGACTATTCCTTTCTATCTTATTGGTTGAATATACTATTTTGAATCATGCAAGCGTATTTATGAATTCGTATTTGTTTTCAACTGAAATCGATTCACATTTTAAACAGACTAGAAATGCTGTTTCATTCAAATATGAAAAAATAAGCGTAAAATGTTCTTGAATTTTTACAAATGAGCGGTGTAGATTATTTGATCGTAGTAATTAAATAAATACTATTCTCTCTCTTTTTTTTTTTTTTTTTTTTTTTTTTTTTTTTTTTAAGATTCACATTCTTGACTGTTTGAATGGTTCATCCATTGTATCTACTGGATTAGGAACAGGACGTGTACTGTCTATGAAGGCACTGAAGAAAGTAAAGGATCAGACGGATGCTCTTTTAGTGGAAATGGTAAGAAATGCTTCTTCATTACAGAATGTGTCAAGTTCAATTGCTTAAAGAGATCCAGACTGGGATCCGTATTATTCTGTTCCAATATATTTGGTTAAGAACAATGGAAATAGGTTTGTTCCTAAAAATAATCGACTGATTCCTGGATTTTATATGCAAGCATTTTCCAGTGAAGAGCAATCAAAGTTTAAACTTTTCCTGTCCCTTATTTCCAATAAAAAAGAGAAACGAAATTTGCCAGTTATTAATTATACAATTTATTCTAAAGAACTCATTTACACACGAAAAAAAGGAACAGAAATTAATATCAAATGAGTTCATCTAAAATTGCTCAATTTCAGTTAGAAACTTATAAAGTAATTTCTCCCTTCTTTCTGCGTGCCTTCATGGTGTAACGGAAGCATACTCGGCGCGTGTTTGAGAGGTCTAGGTTCGAGTCCTGGCAAGGGCACTGCTCATTTTTCATGTTTCCTGCTTCAAAAATCCTAATGACTTCAGCTGGTTACAAGGTTATCTTGTAAATGAGAAGATTTGCGGGGAATTCTGAGTTGCCGGCAGGCCCACGAATTTCCCAGTCGATAAAAGCCTTGCACGCTAGCAGTTTGATTCGTATACATATCCTGACAAAAAAAAATCATAAAATTCTTTTCCAGCCGGGTGGTTAGCTGGATAAGGATAACCACCCAGCTGGGTAAAAGGATCGATGTACATCTGGACAATGATCTTCAGGTGTAACATGAGCCAAATTCCATTAGAATCTTCAAAAAGTTATCCGCTCTTAGCTCCCTTAGCTGTCCGCTCCTATTCGTTTAAGTAAAAAGCTCTCGTGCAGTAGCCTTCATCAACTAATCTATCCTAAGACACTAAGGTTTATCACACTAAGGTTTATCTGAGCTTACGGAGACATCCGCCATACTCCATTGGCTCAGATACACTCCAGTGTGAGGGCCCTTTAAAGTTTTAGTTTTGCGTTAATTCTTAACCTCCCATATCCTCCGATTGAATTTCAAATCCAAAACAAGACCTGTATTGACCTTTAAAATTGGAACTCTTATTAGACAGGTTTCTTGAGTTAATAGAATTAGTACATTAAAATTAAATTTGTTAATATGAGGACAGAAAGCAACTGGGTTTTTTAATTTTGCACAAAAAATAATAATTCAAATTTTTACTAAGCGGACATACTTATGTATGTATTAGCTGCATGGGTCCTGGCCCTATTTTAGTTGATTTTAGGCTTTTGTTAAAAACCGATTTTCTGTGTCTTTCTGCTTTTTAACTTTAATTCCCATGAACTGGAGAAACGTATCTTGTCATAAGAAATAATAGAGACAGTAAATTTAATCATGTTGTCCTGCGAAAGAGTAACATAAATTTACTTTCATGTAGCATGATAAACATGAAATCAGTTGACCAACTAAAGGTGACCTGGAGACTCGAAATCTCGGAAAGCAAACAATGCACTCCAATTTTTGCAGACTTTTGCTGTGCAGTTTTTTTTTTTTTTTTTTTTTTTTTTGATTAACTCCAAAGAGATCCGCACAAGCCATATGCAGAAATAAATGAAAACTTGTATTGTATATGTAACAATTAAAGTTGTCGCATCACGAAAATTTTCTATACTAGCAGGTACATGTAGCACCAGGTATTGTTCAGACCATCATAGTTATCACCAGGTATTGTTTCTACTTACTAGCCATCCTCAGCGAGGAGTGACCGCATCAAGACTCTTCCCATGTAAAAGCCGTGTTTATTTTACTCCAGAATCAGCTCCGCAGAGCAGTGAGACCACTGAATATTGTTAATTAAACTCGTGTTCATATCCTATCTGTAGACTGAGTGGTTGAGAGTTTTCAAAGTTTTACCCGTGTGTAACTTGAATACAAGACAAGTTTTGCTTTTTAAGTCTTCCACGGAAGGCTTATATGCCTTTGGCAGATACCTTTCAAGAACCTTTTCATAATCCAAATAATCCAAGCCACAAACATCAACTTTTCAGATAGTGTGAAATTCTGTTTTATGGAAAGCTTCATAAGGAATTAGAAACAATGTATTTAAACTAAGATGGACGTCGGTCTCTAGCATTTGATCAACTGAAAGCAAAGCCAGTCAATACCGAAAATTTCCATGGATGGTACTTAACACTCATTCACACCATGCAGTGCCAAATTCCTAATTTATACATTAATGCTTCAAGAATATTATTGAGTTATGGGCATATAACGCTTTGCAATGTATCATTTGGGTGTCAGACGGTGCCTAATTGCATACATCCACGACTGTGAAACTGCTGCTTTAGTATCATACCGGTTATCGCATGATTACTGTCATTTTCTCTTTTCATGCTCTTCGCTGTCCACTAAGAAACATTAATGGATCTCTCAATCTGAGTTTATCCAACATTCAGTGATTTTCAGAGAGAATCACTGAGTATTCAAACTTATCTGCGTCTTTCCCTGCTATCTCTGTCCGTTACCCATACGTGTAGTGTCTTATTTAATAACACCGGTGGACCTAACGGACATGTGTTAAATGCTCTGCGTAATAAACAACTGTCTTTTGATTTCATTTCTATTCATCTTCTTTTCTTTACGATGTACCATCCTCTCGGTGTTCAAAAACCGGTTTTCCGTGATGACAAATTTGTGACATCATTAAAATCTGATATCTGCACTGAAAATTTTAACGATACTATTACTTTAGTGTAATCATGTATTCCACGTTCTATTCTATTGTATCGCTAATACAGGTCATACTATATTTATACTACATCCCGTTAGTTGGTCAGGTTTTCATATAATCATCTCATAGATTAGTGTTTCTTAACTGGCCTCGTGCACCCCTTCTGCTGTTCCTACACGATAATTGTCCTTTCCTTTCCCAAACTCGAGAAATACACATGCGTTTATTTAAATTTAGATTATTTTTAATATGTTTTATGAATTAAACAAGGAAGAATATAGAAAATCTTGGTAAATACAAAAACTTAGAATATTAGTAGTTATGTTTATAAACTAAAACTAAGTACGTAATACATATGCGAACACATTTTCACTATAACGCAAAAGTACACGTACGGTCATTTTTGACCTGCATGCATTTTTAATGTTTTTTACCTATTTTCTATTTAAAAAACTTCATACGGCAATAAAAAATTAAAGAACATTTAAATTAAGGAACAAAGATTATTAAACATGATATAATAAATGTATTTCAATTTTAAAACTTGTCATTATCAAACATTGACATATTATGCACTGGTGTAATGTTCACAAACTCCTTTCAGTTTCTTTTGCTTACACGTGTACACCGATGGGCTAAAATGGACAGTGAAGGTGTTAAGAGCTAGATAAAAGGCTGATAGTATCATCCTCCGAAAATATGAGCTTTCTTACCAGGGGGAATGTCAGCCCGGTTGAGAACCCCTGTTATAGATTCATTAGCTTTTTACTTTGTTGCATTAAATTATACAAATTATGCTCCTGAACTTGCCAAGTTTGAGATAAAAATTTATCTGTTTACCTCTTGATGTTCATCAAGGAGATCAGCTCGCATTCCAGTTACGCACTGCAGTGGACACAAACGAGCACAGCTCGCATTCCAGTTACGCACTGCAGTGGACACAAACGAGCACAGCTCGCATTATAAATTTACAGTCGACACACGTAACGGATATTTGGTAGGAATGAATTGTTTAGATTCGTAACCGCCGGAGAGTTAATATAATATTCATTGATAAAATTGATAGGAAGAAATAAGTAGTAAACTACGTTTTTCCGAAGACCTTTCAATTGAAGCTTAGCAACTGCTTAATTACTTTCGTGTGTATAACCGCCGATGGATGTTTTTAATGCAAGTACTGCAAACACATTTGTTTCTTTCATCTGCATTGACACCGATATTATACATCACTGCTGCGCTATCATATCAGATATTACGCATTAAGGACCCTATTGACAGCGCATCGAGCTACTTTCGTTACAGGAATATTGGGTTTGTTGACCAAAGCAGAAATGCACATAACTCTGCTGGCATCTCATTCCGTTATCTCGACTACAGGTACACTGAACGCTACTCAACCGACATTCCGACATCATGCATAGAACTCATTGGCATGGCATTCCGTTTGCTTCTGTGGAAGGATGACGATATTACACAGAGTTCCACTAGCGCCATTTTGCGACAAGGCATGCGAAATCAACTCATCGAGGCCTCCTACTTGAATGCGGGATGAAACTACTACTTTTCTGTGAATTATAACCCCTTGACCAGTATATCACAGAAAATGAAGATATTTTTTGAAAACATTTTGCATTAGGACTAAAATTCTTAACACATTAACTGGAAAATTTTTATTTCATCAATTTTTATTTTATTTCTGTTAGTTTACATCTAAATAATAAGAAAAACATGTTTTTCTCAAAAATGTGTCATTTTTTTTTTTCAGAAATTTTAAATTTAAGTCCGAATCCCCAAATGGGTATCATGGCTGATACTTATCTACTTTTAATGCCAGCGTTTCAAAACAGTCTACGTGTAATCCATCATTACATTTTCCACGTTTGTTTTCTTGCATTTGTTTTGCACACTGCACATTTTCCTTTGTTTACCATTTTCGGTCCGTTCAATATAATGATTACCAGATGTTCTGATAACAGTAAAAACACAATTAATTGATGCTTTAGTGAAAGAATTCCTTCCATCCTTTTTTCCATCTGAGAGTTCTGAAGATAAAGCAAGATACCCTCTAGCAACCATCCTCCTAAAATCTAGCAATGTAATTTTATCATTTGAAATACAATACAGTGCGGGGGCATTAACCAGTGTTACGAGGCGATGCATTGTAAGCAAAGGAAAATACCATTTTTTCCCTCCTTATTCTGATTCTGTATTTTTGAACATTCCAATCCATCTTGTCTACTCCACCCATGGATTTGTTATATTCTGATATCAGTTTGGGTTATGGTATTTGAATATCTTCTTCTCTGTTCTACTCCCTC